AAGAGCGTCATGCATATTCAGACAGTTGCGTCACATTCCCTGAAGTGGGACGATGAGTTAATATGTACTGGTTAAAGGGTATCCATTTTTACACGAGTATCAACAGGTTTTGACCAACGTTTCTTCAAAATCACCTCTGGCAAAAGCAATTACTAAATTGTTCTCCAGCAATTACTAAATACAGAGCGCGTTTCTACCTAGCCCATCCTTAGCACCGGTCTCGGTGCCAATTTGGCAGCTACCAAAATTGGGGAAATGGTGCCCTTGGCCATGAAGACTCTATTGACATCGCTCACATCACTGAATCTCAAATCCCGGAGAGCTGCCTGGGTTGTTATGGCCCAAATCTTGGGACCAGGGTGAGGCCAAAGAGGGTGTGCAGCATCTTCAGGGTCTCCTGCACCTTTTCATATCTCAAGGCACAGCTTTTCTGACCAGAGAAGCCTTCTTTGGATAAGGTGCAGTAAAAGTTGATCAGCTCCAGCCAAGTCTTAAGCCCAGAACATGCACATTTAGATGTGCAGATGCCATGCTTTCAGGGAGCCTTAGATAAACAGGCAGGTTACTCCCCTACTTTTTGATTCCTCCCCCTTCCCCCAGATGGAGAAAAACAATATTATTTAGGTTAAAATAAAACAGTCTGGGTTACACTTTATTTAAGAAGATAGCTTAAGATCTAGAAGACCAGAGTCTTTACAGATTGGCAGATGCAGTACTGCACGATTTTACTCTCTTGGCCACTTTGCACCTTACTGTGAGACCAGGCTTCTAAAGCCCCTCCAGCCCCAGGAAAACGTGCTGAAGGCGCCTACTCAGAAGGGCTCCATCCTGGTGACTACTTATTGCCCAGTCCAGGTTAGGGTGGATTTAGCCTCTTGGTGAGAATAAGGAGGCACAAGTTTTGCTCTATGTATTACGTGTTTTCAGTGAGACAGAAAAATTCGAGTAAGTGGCCGTTCTCCCCAACGAAGCAGCCTGGTACAGCATCTTGAGTTTTCACTTTGTTCCATGGGACGTGCTCTCGTGCTGCACAAAAAGGAGGTGCACCCCTCATATCGCGCAGTGGGTCCTCAATTCTAGAACTCCACTCCACCCCCACGTGTGCCTCCACCCCTCCCCTCCTCCAGCCACCATAACTGCTCCATAAATGACGTTCGCAGCAACTTCGCCCCTCCAGGCCTGAGGAATGCCAAAGCTTGCTGAGCAATTACTGTTTGCAAAATCCCGGGCTCTGGGGGCAGATTTTCCGCTGCTCCGAATCTCCCTCCAGCCTCAAGCATTGCCCAATCCCTACGGTCCGGCTGACCCTCCCCAGCGACTGCCCCCTGGTCTGCCCCAAACCAGGCAGCAGCACTCCACCAGGAGGTAAGACAACTTCCCGGGACACCCCAACGTCTCCTTTCGCCCCCATCCGGTAGCTTGGAAATTTGCACTGGGCAGTGACGTCACACTTGGAGGCGGGTCCCCACTGTCCCGCACACCAATGGCGCGGCCGCGGCCGGCCTCTCCTTTCCCAGTGATTGGTGCCTCTCTGCTCCACCCCAGCCCGCCATGGCGTCAGGCGCCGCAGCGCCCGGGAGGTGGTTCCCACTTTAAAGAAGTGAAGTTTTTCGCCCCCTCCCCCTCCCCGCCCGCCTCCTGCAGCCTCCCGCGCCCAGCGGAGCCGGCGGATGGAGCTACGCTGCGGCGGCGTAGGGGGCCAGGCTGGAGGGCGCAGGATGGATGGGGACAGCCGAGATGGCGGCGGCGGCGGCTGCAAGGACGCCGGGTCGGAGGACTATGAGAACCTGCCGACCAGCGTCTCCTTATCCATCCACATGACAGCCGGAGCGATGGCCGGGATCCTGGAGCACTCGGTCATGTACCCGGTAGACTCAGTGAAGGTGAGGCGCGAGGGGACTTTAGGAACGGAGCGAGCGGAGAGAAGAGCGCGCGCGCGTGCGTTTGCATCCCGCGCAGGAGCAGCCTGGATGCAGCTCTCCGAAAACGCGCTCTCCTCGGGGCCGCGGCGCCCCGGGTCTCCTGGGTCTCACCGGGAGCTGGCGCGCGCAGCCGGGGCGCCGAGGAGCGCGCTGCGCAGCTCCTTCCGCTGTGCGCCTGGGCCCTGGGGGCACCCCCCGCGCCCACGAGGGTGCCCCAGCCGGCGCCCCGCTCCGCCGCTCCCGCCGAGTTCCCGGCCCGGGCTGCTGGCGGCGCTGCGGCGGGCGAGGAGGAGTGGCGAGCGCCGCTGGCCTCGGTGGTGGCGGCGGGGTTCCCGAGGGAGGCGGCCAGTGCAGCTTTGCACAGTCTTACCACTGTCTGGCCACGCGATCGGAGAGTTTGCGGTCCCGGGTCATTGCGGCTCCAGCTGGCGCGCCCGGTGTCCGAGCCGCGGCGAGTGGCGTCCGCCGGCCGGTGCCGGGTGGCCGAGGCTGCCCACACGTGCACTGTCCCGGAGGGACCCGCCGCCGGGAGCGCTAACCACGTTCGCGCCGAGGAACGTGTCCCCGGTCGGGCCGGCCCGGCCACCCGCCCTCCGGCTGTGGAGCCGCTGAGAGGCACTAAGACTTGCAGTGACATTTGCCTTCTCATTTTGTTGCAGGGAGGCGGGCAGGCAGGGAGAGCGTGAGCTATACCGTAAGCCTTTCTTACGGTTTGTGTAATAGACGTTCAGTTGGCCCGGTACTTCCCGGGTAGTTTTAAATGCATTTCTGTAAGGAGGCAGCTTTAGCCAGGAGGATTTTGCCAGAGTTGCCCTCAGTCAGCCTGTTCAGAATACCGAATGGCTAGGGGACGGAGTGCTGAGGGGGAGTAATGCTAGTACTGACACATTGCACTTTTGTGGGCAGAACTCATCTAAAACATACAGCAACCCTGGGGATTAACAGATGAAGAAACCGTGGCACAGAGAGGTGACCAGATTAGCCTGCCCGGGCTCATGAGCCACCTGTATCCTCTGACTCCAGCCCCAGTGTGCTTTGGGAGATCTGGGGACCTCTCCGGGTGGCAGTTATCTTGGAAGGCAGGCCCAGCAGAGTTCCCCAGCTAGCATCTGTATCTTGTTGCTGATGCTGGCCCCATGTGAGTGGCGTGAAGGCCAGAATGTCTAATGCAGAGGGTTTTCCCTGCCCTGGGCAGCTCTCAGAGCTGGCAGTCAGTGGCTGGACAGACACGGGTCCAGAGAGAAGACCATGGGCATTGGCAGTAAGGTGAGCCCAAGTCTTATATTGTGCTGCTGGGACTGAGCCATCACCCCTTCTCTCCCTCCGGCATCCCAGTGGGGAATTAAGGGAATGGTCCTTGCCTGCCAGGGTTACAGAGGCCACAGGGAGATCTTGTCTCTTAGGTTTTCGAAGCTGCTCCAGGAAAGACCCTGGACAGATACCAGGTGGCATTTGTATAGGAAAGAATCCCTCACATGTAATAAAATTCCCCATGTTTGAAGTTGTTGTCTCAGGTGCCTTGGACAGAGTGTGGGAAAGTTAGGAGCAGGGAGATGTTATTTGAGCAGGCACCAGACCCACTGGGTCGTGGAGATGAATGTTCCATCAAGGACCTGTACCACTTCTGAGACCCTTGGCCTCTGCTGTGAGTTTGGTTCAGGGCATCATTTTAGCTTATCTTTAGGATTAGGAATAGTCAGTCATGCCTTTTGAGCTCCCTGTGACACTCTGAAGAGGCATTAATCTCACGTGTTTAAATTTTGTGATCTGTGTTTAGTTTCCTCCGTGCCCCTCCTTCTGCGCCTTGGATGCTGGGCTGTTTTGATCCATTTGTCACTGTGTACTTAGTATTACTTTCTGTAGCAGTTTTCACCTGTGACCAGGTTAACGTGGTGTGTATGATCGAAGGAGCTGGTCTTACCGTCCTAGGCAAGTCATTCTGTGGGGCTTGACTGTAAAATGAAGGCTTGGGTTAACTAACCAGGAAGTTTTCTAGGTTCTACGATTATAGTCCTAGCTCTGAATAACGACCCTTAGGGGTTCTTCTGGTTTTGAGCATGCAGGTTTGGCCTTAAAGCCCCTCTTGTTTTTTGGCTACAACTTTCTTGGATTACTCTTTTCACTTTGCAGCAGGGATGAAAGGCACAGAGTTAAGTGGTATGAGCCCCGCAGTGTGACCCCAGTGAGGCTGCGGCAGAGTGCCAACGTGTGCCAAGACCAGCATGGTTGTCTGTGTCCAACACGAGATATGCTTCAGTCACGGAAATCCTCTATTTGGGGAGACCTTCACTGTGTTCTTCTTAAATATTTGGGAAGATGAAGACTGTGAGTAATTGAATCAGAGCCCTGGGCTGGGGTTCAAGCCCGGCCCCTAACTTGTTTCATGCCTTAGGCACTGTTCTGTGCCTTGGTTTTGTCACTAGTAAAACGGAGGCTGTGGACCAGTTCAGTATTTCCCGTTTCTAACCTGCCCCCCTTTCTACGAACACAGAACACTCGTCCTCTTTTTTTTGTTTGTTTGTTTTTTTGCGGTACGCGGGCGTCTCACTGTTGTGGCCTCTTCCGTTGCGGAGCACAGGCTCCGGACACGCAGGCTCAGTAGCCATGGCTCACGGGCCCAGCTGCTCCGCGGCATGTGGGATCTTCCCAAACCAGGGCACAAACCCGCGTCCCCTGCATCGGCAGGCGGACTCTCAACCACTGCGCCACCAGGGAAGCCCTCACTCGTCCTCTTTACGTTCTTGAAATTTCAAAAAGTTATTACACCTGAAGCCAAATCAATGTAAGTTGTATCTTGAAAGGGAAAAAAAAAAGTTTTCTTTGATTTTATAAGGCACACAGTTTTAACCTGTTCTTGTAAAGTTCAGTGAGAGTGTTGGATGGACCTGCTTTTTCCAGTTTTTCTCTCCTAGATAGTGTGAACCATGGTGCTCAGGGGTGGTCACTTTCATTTCTGAGCCCAGCGAGCTGTTAGGTTGGGTCCTTAAGCGCAGATAGGTCAGCCTTGCTAATGCTTCCCACTGTAACATTACATACATTTTCCCATGAAGTCCCATCCCCCCCACCATGTCACCTTAATGATCTGCATTTTTCAAACTGGGTGGTGACCCATCAGTGGGAGCAACATTTTTTAAAAAATCAATTAATTAATTAAGTTTTGGCTGCGTTGGGTCTTCGTTGCTGTGTGCGGGCTTTCTGTAGTTGTGGCGAGCAGGGGCTACTCTTTGTTGCGGTGCGCGGCCTTCTCGTTGCTGTGGCTTCTCTTGTTGCGGAGCATGGGCTCTAGGCATGCGGGCTTCAGTCGTTGCGGCACATGGGCTTCAGTAGTTGTGGCTCGCGGGCTCTAGAGCGCAGTAGTTGTGGCGCATGGGCTTAGTTGCTCTGAGGCATGTGGGATCTTCGTGGACCAGGGCTCGAACCGGTGTCCCCTGCATTGGCAGGCGGATTCTTAACCACTGCGCCACCAGGGAAGTCCCAGGAGCAACATTTTTAAAAAGCCAGATTGGTGCGAGTACAAAACACGGGCACGTGTGGCATGCGGTAAGGAGCAGTGTCGCTCCATGAAATTCTGCTTGGGTGTATGTGTGTGTGTGTTCCCTGAGTGGCTGTGTAAAGTGCACTTCTGGCTGGGGATTATGGGCAAAAACGTCTGAAAAACACTGAACCTCATAATCACTAGTGCCTCTTGAGCTCCAGCAGTCAACAGCCTGTGATTATTAAGTGGGTATTTGGAAGACTTTTGGCAACTTTTCTCCTCTTTCCTGTGTCTTCCTCTGTCACTTGTCCCCGCGCTGGTGGCATATGAGTACTCACTCATCCATAAAGGGCCAGGCTGCTGGGATCCCATAGTGGTCCCAGGGGAGGGAGCGAGGGGGCTCCGTAGGGCTCTCACCAAAGGGTAGCCACGACTTGCTCCTTTCCAACTGGGGCTTTGCAGCCCCTCTACCGTGAGCCTCTCCCTGGTGCTCCAGAGGGGCCAGTGGCGTGGTCGCCTAGACCAGCACTTGGGGTGGATGTGAGAACCCCTGGTCGGGAGCGCTCAGGGCTGTGGGGAGAATGCCAGGTGGGTGGAGGAGGAAATTCCAACCAGATTAGGCACACCGCTCGCTCGCAGACCATGCCGAGTCCTGCAGTGGCGAAAGCAGGGGTAGAAGGAAACAGGAAAGATTTGAAGCGAGGGAACTTCCGCTGACCCTTTCACAGCCCTTCTCTTGTTTTGCTTGTCAGGGAAACTCAGTCCTCAAGCTCTGCTGGGGGAAGCCCTCCTTCCCCGCCAGGGTGCAGCCCGATGGCAGGGCACTGACAGCCGGCCGAGTGGGTTAAGGCTCAGCCTTCTGTCTAGGAGCTGGTGGCTGCCGAGCCAGTTAGAAACCTCGCTTGGCCTTGGGGGTTTCTGTCGCTGGCCCTGCAGAGCTCGGAGGAGCAGCAGCAGCGAGCCAGGCAGGTGCCAGGAGGCTCTGCCTTCCTCCACTTCTGACTTTGCTCATCCTTCCTGGTCCCAGCAGTGCAAGCTGACTGCTAGGGTCCTCTGGGGAGGTGGGGGGCAGGGGGCGAAGGCAGCCGCCAGTGTCCCTCCCACCCACTCCAGTGCTTTCGAAACCAAGTACGGTCCAGTAGATGCCATTCTGCTTCGAAAGAGCATGAAATCCCAAATTGCTCTCGTTCTTGCAACAAAATTATAGTGATCTTTCCTGTCTCGTAGAGATCCCGCCCCTCCTTTTCCATCCTCCTTCAGCGGGAGGCGCTTTTCTAAAAGGTGGATTTCGGAGTGGCGTGGAGTTCAGCGAGGAGTCCTCTGGAACTTCTGTCCGGTTGTCTGTTTCATGAACACCCAGGCCGCGTGCTGATGCCCAGGGCTGGGGTCTGCTGGAGGAGTGGGGTCTGCTGGGGGTCCCAGAGGCCTGGCACACGGGGCAGCAGTGTGAGTTTCTCCCAAAGGGCTCGGCTGCCCAGCGGATGGT